CAGAGTCCATTAGCAGAGAGAGAGAGAGAGTTCTGGGTAATATTTTAAGTTAAGGCTCGTTAATTGATCGCGTTTTAATTTTATTCAAAAATATTGGCTACTGCTAGTTTATATAGTACATTATAATAATCTAAAGATGAAAGATTTGATTGTTTGTTTGCTTGCATTGAATAGACTCCAAAACTACGGAACCGATTTGAAAGATTCTTTCACGGCATTAGTAAGATACACTATTTATTAAATTCCGCTCAGACGAAGTTGTGGGCAAATGCTAGTACGAAATAAATATGTTCGGCTTAAAATATTCTTAACGAAGGTTCAATATTCTATTTGGAATACGAAATGAGGCTTTAATGAACACGTACAACCTCTGTTTCTGACTGGACATGTAAATTAATTACTTCCATTTTAATTAAATGAATAAATCAATTGCCCGTGGAGGTAAACAAAAGATCTTTTATTAAACAATGACTGTTCTTACATAAAAGTGTTCTTACATGTCCGTAAATTAAAGTCATTAAGTGAAAATAACTTAAAACATTTGAAGATCGTCAAGTTATTTTATTTGCTTAATAGACAGTCGCTTCCTTGCGATTTTTTAAGGGAAATAATTCGTATTACACTTTGCAAATTGTATTTAAAAAAATATTTGTAAAACTTAAGTATTAAGTATTGAATTGTGACTGAGTATTACAGTAAGTATTCAGTATTAACTCAATTTATTCTCTGAAAATAAGTAAACTAGGAAAGAGGATAATTATGAAAAACTATGCTGCTAATACTGAAGATAAATTTTCTTGAAAGAAGACGTAGCCGTATTTAATAAGATAATGCGGATAAAATTACATAAGTTGCGCTGAAAAGAATTTATAGTGGCTTCACACGGATAGCCTATAATATCTATTGTTTTGTACTTCTTCTATAGATAACAAATATTGTCATTTATTTAAACAAAAACAAACCGTATGAATACCCGTTCTATAGTTTTTTTTTTAATTACTAGTTCTATTAAACAGTTTGACACGTTTTAATAAATTTAATAAATTAAATATAAGACAAAACAAGACGAAAAAGAAGACAGAAAAGAGCGCCAACCTCGATTAGTAGAGTAGCATATGAAGAAGAAGAAAAAGAAGAAAAGGTTGAGTTTGTAATATTAATTGTGTCTTCAATTTGACCTTAATAAATATAAGTAAACAACATGCAGTCATAAGTAATAAAAATAATATCTCGAAAAATTATTCAAAAATAATTTCCTAAGTAGTGACAAACATCGTTCGCCTTTTAAAACAAATATTTGTTCTTCCGTATAAACTATGCTTAACATTTGCTTGGAAACTTTCGAATGTGTTTGCTTTGAATCTAAGTTGCACTCAGACAAGGTAAATGTTTGCATCGCTGCGTCGCTTGATGCATAAAACTTGACAACTGATGTACTACTTGCCTGCAAGAAATTATTATGCAGTTCTTTTGTTTATCGTAAAAGTAGACTTCCATTGCAATTATACATTGAAACGTGTTATTTTAGATAGGGAGTAAAGAGGGATAAAAAGTATTTTGCAATGGAAACCAAGACGAAGTCTTTTCATATGCAGTGATTGACCTATGAATTAAATAGCACATCATCTGCCATGATCCTTTCAAACGTTTATGCTACAAGAGAAAAACTTAGCCTCATATAACCTTTCCCAAAAGTTGGGCTATCATATTCTTAATTCACTTTTTCTTAAAACCTTTTGGTTCTTTTCTAAATTCAAACAAAATAGATCGTAATATCCCTGCGGTCGTATCGTATCATAGAATAAGTAAGAATTTCTTGTTTTCTTTTTATTATGATATGTGCTTATGAGGTGCCATCTTTTTTAAATTATAAATGTACAGAGCACTGGAATAGAGTATCATGTTCAGTGTTCGTACTGCTTACATAATTTGAATTATTCGTAGTCTGTGGCGATGTATACTAGAGGTCGTAACCGCCCGTCTCTACCATATGTTTATGCATTCAGTACGTCAGTTGATTTCAGTAAACTGTGGCGTGCTAGAACTTATTTGTTTAAAACATTTATCATTTCTTTATTCGCTTATGAAACATAAATAATGTAATTTTTTTTATTGTCATCCTACTGCCTTCTTCTAGATTTTTTGGATGAATGGAAGGATAAATTGATAGATGGATGTTTGTTAGGAAATATCTCCAGAACGCGTCAAAGAATCTTGTTGCAATTTAACATTGTTGTATACCATAGCCGAGAAGAACACATAGACTAAGATTCTATAATTTCGGGCGGACGGAGTCGCGGGCGACAGCTATTATAAAAATTACTCAAAAAACGACGAATGTTGTTAAATCTCTTAATAAACAAAGTTCCTTTGTCCTAAGAGTGCGGTAACAAAAAGAAATTCTATTATTTTTACCCAATTCATTAAAAGAAAAGGTATAGTAAAGACACTTTGATACACTTACGTATGTCGAGTGTCTATCGAACGTAGGAAAATAAAATGTCCGACTCTATCATGTCGAGTCACTAAACAAATAAAAAGTTTGCGCACCAACTTAAATGTGAACTTAGTTTACGCGATACTAATAGAGAAAGAATATGACGTCACATTTTCTAATAAAGCTATTTATAGAACGTCTTTAATTACTTTTAGATGAAATAGTTTAGGTTATTTGAGGTTATCCTAAAACTAGATGGTTTGTGGTAAATATAATGAAATGACTATATTTATTGGTTAGTAAGGGATTTAACAGTAGTTTTTATTTTTACTTAATTTATTATAATCTTCGTCTGCGATTTCATCTGCGAAGAATTAAAAAAACACAGTAGCGTAAGTGTTCTTCCAGACTATGTTCTAAATGTATGCCAAATGTTATCGAGAACTGTTGAGCCTACATCCATCCATCTATCCATTCATCCATCTAAACAATCTCATACATAATTGTAGTAAGAAGTCAAATTAATGAAGTACGCTGTAAAATGATGGCTCTTTTATTCACTTAAAGTATGTTAATTAACGTAACAACGAGCAAAGTTTTGCTCTACCAAACTATTCTAGAGTATGAGTCAGGAAATTGAATATTAGCGGCATAAATTTTAACTAATTTAATCGTTTGTGTACTTTGCTGCTAAGTCTTGTCATGTTTTAATAAATATCGTTAACAAGGAGCTTAAACATATGGCGACGTATTTGGAATATAATGCATTTCTTATGTATTCTTGTTTGTGCTTGAATTACAATATCACATAATTTAAAGGTAGGAGTTAAATTATTTTATACTAGCTGTCGCCTGTTACTCTGTCCGCGGGGTATAAAAAAAACTTAGTAACTCTTGTGTTCTTCCAGACTATGGAATATTTCAGCGACATCCATTCAGCTATTCTGGGGGTACCTTCAAACATCCATCCATCCAAACATTCGCATTTATAAAACACATTCATTTATTTATCATATTTTTAATATAGTAAAGTTCATAATATTATTAAGTAAGATTTTTCATCTTACGCAAGTTGATTTCTATTACTAAACAACAAATATTCTTTTATTGTAAAGAAAGAAAAACACGAACATTTTCTCGGGCTAATGTACAAAAGTGGTTTGAAATGAAAATTTATAAATAATATTGTGTGTCGCGTGAAGCGTATAGAATTCTAAACATTTAGAGGGAAGCTTACGTTCGCAAGAAAGTACGTGCGATGCAGACATTAGGGAATTACATCGGAGAACTTTAATGAGCTCCAAATTTATTGTGTTGAGAAATTTTCATTTGAACTTGGTATAGTGGGGCTGAATGTGCTAAATTTACAATACCTTTATAGAAACTAAAGTAAAATACGAAAAATTGGCAAACGAGCTAGCGGACACCTGGCCTCGAAATAGCGAAGCAAGGGCAGAGGCCCCATAGACATCCGATATTGCACATGCATTACCTACTTTAGCACTATGTTACCTTTGCGCCTCCTCCATTGTTAAATCCACTTCGCCTTCTCATCCTTACCTCATAAAAAAAGTTGGAAAAGGACCGAAGACTAAAATGACTCCTCCAACAGCACTGTTCAGAAGAAACGCGGAATAGCTTCCACTTTAAGCCTATTTGTGTGTTCGAATTGCAACGTGTGATTCGAACAATTCGTGCGACAGATGTTATTATGTTGGCATCTACCACTGTTACCACTGATATAACACTTTTGCAACGTGATATTATTTTTTTAATAGACATGGAATTTAAAAACTTTAATTTATTTACTGTTTATTTGCTTTTCTATTCGAATGCATTTCATTTAATATAGTGTATCTAACGAGTGCATTGTAGCAGTGGTCGCAGCAACTAGCTCGGGGCGATATTATGTGCTCTGTTTCTTAAAGCCACAAAAGGCTTGTACAATCAATTGCGCTCCAGAGCACAGTTGGGTCAGACATAAGAAGTTGCTTCATTGTACTGAATTTTAAGCGTACGATTATTTTTTTCTTGACATTTTCGAATGAGATAACAAAGACTACTTTACTGATATAGAAACGGCTAAACACTGGTATATTCGTCCGGTGGCGGCACCGACTAGTTTCGAGCCCATCGGGGGCCCTTAATCAGGATGAGTGGTACTGGTATTATTTCGCGGACGCGGCCCGTTGCTCACTGCTACCGGACGAATATACGTGAGTGTTTAGCCGTTTTTATATCAGTTTAGAATAATGTCCCACGAAAGTTTGAATAATTTAAGACTACTTTAGATTACTTTTATGCTGGAAATTTTCTGGCAATTCATCTCACGTCTAAACTATTCCCAGCTCAGATAGTGTTGTGTAAGGTCAAGAAGTTATTGATAAATACCATGTTTAGTAGAGCCAGGTGACATTTTAAATATAATAATATTAAAAGCCAGAAAATAATTCTTTAGATTTAAATCCGATTCCTTTTAATCCCCTAAGAATGACAATGATTTTAATTCAATTTATATTTCGTTTGTTTCAGATAATTCAGAGCGAAGATCTGTCCAAAGCAAATTTCAAGTCTAATCAAAACGTCCATTTAAATCTAGATCATTCTAAATACTAAGACGAAGACAAAGTTCTGACCGGAGGTAATCTAGAAGTATAAATTCTACGAAATTCTAGAAGATTCTTAAATAATATTAAGACTTATGAGGACAGTGTACATTCATCTGCAAGTTTAGCCAGATAACCTAGTGGAGAAGCTCTCTCGTTACCTAACTAACACAACCACGAGGACAACAAGTAAACAACGATGGCTCGGCCTGAGGTTGTGCGATGAAGCTGCAGATGAGGAGGGAATGGAGGAACCTAACGTCACGAAGCGGCCCTCCGTGCTGACCATAGACAGGGCCGCGTTCCTCCTTCTACGAGTCAAAAGAGCTTTCAAGAAGAAGAGACAACAGAGAAAGGAGAAGCAGTGAGTATATACTCGTACAGTATATTAGTTTTACTGCCGCAATTGCTTAGTCTCTAAAGGATTACTAAGGGATTCTCTCAGTGTAGAACTGCGGTCTTTCGTTGTAGACGTGTAGACCATTCTGGTCTCAGTAGAAGTTAAAAAAATTATGTATTCCTCTAAAGCATTTTATAATCACGGGAATGATAAATAATATTACATGAATAATCATATTTAAATTAGATTCTGTTAATTTATATAATTTGTTTTGGTTTTAGCTTGGTTATTTCTGTGTTTCGTTAATTAATCAAAATAATTATTAAAGACTAGCTGTCGCCCGTGACTCTGTCCGCGCGTATTTAAAAAAAAAAACATATTAATTATCCTATGCTTCTTGTAGATTATGTTTTACATCTATGCCAAGTTGCGAGATCAATTCAGCCGTTTATATGGGAAAAAGAAAAGGGCTGTTGTTAGGGGTTTCCCAGCAATTATTCGTATTTCTAAATCTTCCCTAGACCTCCAGGAATATTTCAAGACCAAGATAAGATAATTCCGTTACGGTGTTCTCGAGTTTAGCAAGACTAACGAACAGCAATTGATTTATATATATATATATATATATATATATATATATATATATATATATATATATATAGTCTTAAAGTATGTATATAGTTTATGACATTATTAGTCAGAATGAATAGTGAGGGGATATAAACGTCGACATTTGAGCAAGGCTAGTGTTGCGCCAGTACACCGGCACAGTGTCGAATTCCTATCAATAGATAGATAATGTAATGGAATAATCTAAACACAATTCTGTGACTTCTTTGAACAATAATATCTATTCTTTCAGTACATAATGAAGATCACGATAGCACTTATGTATTTATCTCACGTACAAAAGTTATGTAATCTCCAGTTCTCCTGATTGTTATTATACAGCTCTGAACGTTTCAATACGCGCCTTTGAAAGTACATAATGTGTTTTAGTTATATCTCATTTTGATTGCCAATGAATACTGAATACTACTGTGATATACGTTAAAACAAGAATACATTGTCCTGGTAAATTACTTCATTATTTATATTTGAATGTTTCACATGTTAATAAATACGGGAAATTCTTCTATTTCTGTGCATAGGCGTAGGCAATTGCGTATGTCTATGGGCAACGGTCGCTTCGCTATTTCAGCGATTTCAGATGGCCGCTCGCTCGTTGGTCACCATTTAATAAATAAAAAAAAATATCTTTACATTTTATAATACAAGTTTATTTAACGTTTGTTATATCGCAATAAACAAATTAATTGGTGTGTTACTTACGTACAGAAAGGTTGGCAAAAGTTAAAGATTAAAAGGATAAGAAAGGAAAAGGAATATATAATAGAATCTTTACTAAGACCAAATGTTTAATAAACTGCGGTTCCTTTGGCTTTGCGGTTGTCCATGGGCGTAGGATCAAATAATTTTAGTCGATACGTTGCTCGTTTGCCCCATTTATCTATATAAAAAACGGATTTAGCCATGTTTAGTAAAAATTAATAGCAAAATAAGTTTTTACTTCTTTTGTGGTTATTTATAGAAAAGAAACAATGAAGTGAAAAAGGTTTTAATATTTCACTTTTTAGATGAACCGTATTGGTAACGACGTACGGATAAAATTAAACTAAACTATTTAGTTTCAATACTTTTTTATTTATTTAAATTTGAATAGGTTTTTCAGTTGATGTATGATCCAATTTTGGATCAACGTCAACTTTACGATCTTCTTCAGATTTTTTCTTAGCCAAATCTTTCTTAACAGACGATTTGTTTGTAAATGCAGGCGTCATTCTTGTATTTTCACTTATCTCATTATCACCAACAGCGTGTATTGCTGGTTTCTTTTTAATAATCAAATCAGTTTCTCCGTCCATTACTGATTTCTTCTTTGGCATAAGAAATATATCTATTGCTGGAGGTTTTATTGATTCTATTGGTAAGATATTCCTCTTGCCAAGAAGGTTCTCGAGAACTTTTGTTAATGGAGAAAACATTGAATTTGTTGGTATGGTATTTGCAAGCATTTGATTTTGTTTTGGGGAGAATTCAAAAAATACACCTTCTTCTCGTATACTTTCGTGGGAATCACAACATAAAGTGGATGTTAGCTCTTTGTTGAAAGAGAAAAGGTCGTTACTCATTAATATTTTGTTGAGAATTTCTGAAGGATGCGTTGCAAATGGATCTTTCAATTGGCGGAGATTCGAGCACGGACAGGGCTCGTCGAGTGGCGAATCATGTTGAGGTGGAAATAATGAACTGAATGGTTGCATGTAGGGATCATGTTTGGTTAACATATCTGTAAAATATTTCCTATTTTAAATCAAACAAAACACTAACGTTCCAATATTTGTCTAAGTTTCAACTAATTTCCAAGTTGTTTGACAAATATTTAATATGAAAAATTGAAAAACAAAACTTACCTTTATATTTGTCACCCAAATAAAATGAAAAGTCCATTTTTCCGAAATTGACAAGCGAATTACTTATAGCCGGCAACGACTTGAAAGTTTTTATTTCGCGCGACAAAATCCCTGTTAAAAAACTTACCAGGCCCATAAGCACGGTAAACAACGCCATCTAGAGTTGAAAAAAGTAATTAAAAGCAGAGAAAAATTCATTAATTCATTCATCATCAGCTTACTATAGGTCCCCACCGAGGGGCACGGAGCCTACCCTAAGTTAGTCAACCACGCTGGCCAAGTGCGGGTTGGTTGACTTCACACATATATTTGAATTACTTCTCAGATATGTGCAGGTTGCATCACGATGTTTTCCTTCACCGTTAGAACGTCGTATAAATGTACATATGTAAATCGGAAACCGAAAAACACATTGGTACAAACATATTGGTCAAGTGCTTGACCCCTGAGCCACCGAAGCTTCGCTTTAGAGAAAAATACTAATATAATAATATTAAAAATTCAAATTACTAAATATATATTAAACTAGTAAAATTGTGTTATCCAGACTTGTAAAGAAATATATGAGGTACAAAAATACCTTAGTATTTTGTCGTTGTACAAATCGTTTGATGACACAAGCAATAAGAATAAAAGTACGATTGAAATTCAACGTAAATCAAATCCCGCTGTTTCACAACTTCAATTTAGTCGTTTATGGGATTTGTATTTTATAGTCGGTCTTTCGTAATTTCAAATAAATAGACGTCGGAAAAATTATATCGATTTTATCGACCACCTTCTTTGAATTATGACAACGGATACGACCTTTGGTTCAAACATACTAAGTAAAATAGCTTATTACCAACATTTCTATCTCCATAAGTGAATCTGAACGTCGGTGGCTCAGTGGTCAAGCACTTGTCTTGCTACCTGCAGGTCCTGGGTTCGAATCCCGCCATGTGCCAATGTCTTTCGATTTGCATATGTACATTTATCCGACGTTCTTACGGCGAAGGAAAACATCGTGATGCAATCTGCACATATCTGAGAAGAAATTCAAAGATATGTGTGAAGTCAACCAACCAGCACTGGGCCAGCGTGGTTGACTATGGCCTAGTCACCCCTGACTTAGGGTAAGCTCTGAGCCCCTCGGTGGGGATGTATAGTGAGCTGATGATGATGAACTGAATCTAATTTAAAAACATTTCTCTTAACCACATAAAAATACATAAAAGACTTCTTGGACTTCTTAAACAGACAATAGGTAGTCGAATAAGGGATAATTTAATAAAAGAATAGAGAAAAGTCTTCACTGGAACAAGATATAATAAAAATGTAAACAATATTTTTTTCCTTGTTAAATTTTCCTTCTACGATACAAATTCTTAGTAATGTACACGGAAAATGTGCTTTTAAGATGTAATAAAATATTTGAGAATAAAATCGACTACCGGTAATACAGCTATAAAATTGCAGAAGCTACGTACAATATTGAATGATCGTTTGAGTGTCAGTATGAATCATATTTTGATATTTTAGACGAGATCATTGACTTATATCACAAATGGATACTACATTAAAATAATCTCCATAAAAATACGTATAGTATAATATTTTCAAACTCAATCACCATCAACTCACTATACGTCCCAACTGACGGACTCGGAGTCCACCGCAAGTCACGGGTGATTAGGCCATAGTCAACCACGCTGGACCAGTGCGGGTTGATTGACTTCACACATATCTTTGAATTTCTTCTCAGATATGTGCAGGTTGCATCACGATGTTTTCCTTCACCGTAAGAACGTCGGATAAATGTACATATGTAGATTTGATTCAAACCCAGGACCTTCAGCAGATTGCAAATTGCCACCGATGCTCTTATAACTCAATAGTATTTCGATTTCAGATATAACGGTATATTATTAGATATAGTGTATAGAAGAATGCTGTGCCGATTCTTTGTAGAGATGAGGGCTCTTTTAAATGCTTTCATCCATCCGAGCATAGTACAGCTCCTTGAGGTGCTTTCTTTTAATACAAAGCTATCTAGGATTTTAAATGACCAACAATGTGGACTTAGACAAGCTATTTTTCAAGTGTCAGCAAAATTATATTATCTATAACAACTTGAAAGTTGTTTAAGAAATAAAAGTAGCCTTATTCTTGTGAACGAGACAGTCAATTTTTTTAGGACAGATTTTAAGGACAGGATAGTATTTTAAGAATAAGATACATTTTTTTTATTATAGTACAAAAAAAGGTAGTTTTTCATCTAGATTCTAAATTATATGAAAAAAAAATCTAAAATAAAAATGAGTCGTTGCCGACATTTTTTAAAATTTATGATTATATCTCAAGAAAGTTAAAGTAATTTATCCTAAAATAGATTTGGAATGCGATATTCTCTTATTTAAAGATGTTGCAGATACAAGAGATTCATTCATCGATAGAGTAAATAATGAATAAAAACGTCATGATCCTTATGACGTTTTTATGCAGTTAATTTGTTATTAAACTATCTAAAATTGTGTACCAGGAACGTGCTAAAGAAGAATCTTCCTATTTACAGTTATAGGCGTATGAGAGAAAAATATGTTTTAAAAATGCCAAAGTATATGTTTATAGGAAAAATGTACAATAGGTATAATATCGTAAAAGTGACTTTTTATGTTAAATTTAAGTGTCGCGTCGTAATTGGTTCCTATTTTAGTCGGAACGAGTTACATCGTATTCCACAAGCATGTTGCATTAAACCAATAAAGTTCACTTAAATTATATTTATTTATAAACGTCGATTTCTGAAACAGATCGTAAAATTTCTGAAATGCTCAACGGTTAATGGTTTTGATTTCGTACGCAAACGCACGAATGGCACTTACCAATCTACTCTATATTTCTATTTTCGTAAGTTAAAATAATTGTTTAATTTGTTTAGTAAAATATTTGCTCGCTTTCTAAACGTAAACTTCATTTAAAAATACCTAATTTGCTTATTGATTAAAGTGACATCTATCGGCGAAAAAAATCAAATCAAACTTAAAAAAAAAACAATAAAACGATCTGGTGTTTTTTTTATAATACAGCTGTCGTCCATGACACTGTTGACGCAGAAAAAAAATGCCAAATTTTAGCGAGATCCGTTGAGCCGTTCATCCATCCATCCATCTAAACATTCGCATTTATAATATTATTAAGATTGATGTCGATAAAGACTTTATCAATAAAAAGTCTTCATATTCAGACTTTAAAAGGACAAATAATTTATAATCAGTTGTTTCAAAGACATTACAAATGTAATACTATAAAAGCACGTCAATTTAAAATTCAAGTTAATTCAGATTAAGGTTCTACGTGTTTAATTTTTGCTAATCTCATTTATCTCAATTCCAGCTTTTATAACAGTAGGTCTATTTGTCATGCGTCTATTTAATCTTATCTTTGTCTCATTTTGAATGTAAATTTATTAAGGTTTGCTCTTTTATTACTTCTATTGTATTATATTAAAATCATAAAAATTATATATTAATTATATTATAAAAAAATTTAATAAAAATTTCTCTTTAACAAAGGTCTTGTCTGTCGTTTTGAATGGAATAACGGCAAATGTTTCAAGTGTAGCGCCACCTGTGGTCAAAACTATATTCGATCCAAAACGCCGGAGCGATCTTGTGGATGAAGCATTTTTGGAACAAAAAGATGTTTTGCTAGATATGGTATTGTAAAAATAAAGTCGAATATACACTCTTTTTAAACAAACTTGTCTTATACCGAACTAGCTGTCGCCTGTGACTCCGTGCATGCGAAGTGAAAGAAAAACTTAATTAGTAGCTTGTGTTCTTTCAGACTATACTCTACATATATGCCAAATTTCATTGAGATCCGTTAAGCCGTACTGGAAATACTTTCAAACAAACATCCATCCTTCCAAACATTCGCATTTATAATATTAGTAAGAAGTAAAATAAGATACGGAATTGATGATGGGCAAAATAATTATAGCGGTAAAATAATGACAGCGTCGGTGGCTCAGTGGTCAAGCACATGATTTGCAATCTGCAGGACCTGGGTTCGAAACCCGCCATGTACCAATGTGTTTTTCGATTTACCGATTTACATTTGTACATTTATCCGTGAAGGAAAATATCGTGATGCAACCTGCACATATCTGTGAAGAAATTCAAAGATATGTGTGAAGTCAACCAACCCGCACGTGGCCAGCGTGGTTGACTATGGCCTAATCACGCTTAAGTTAGGGTAGGCTCCGAGCCCCTCGGTGGGGACGTATAGTGAGCTGATGATGATAAAAATAATTATATATTAATTTAATTACAGTTAGAAGCAAAACTTAAAGAAGTACGCGATAAAAAGAAAAAGAAAAACGATCGCGGTGACAATGGAAATAATAATCTTGTTAATAATAGCGCAGATTCAATTAAATGTGAATCTTTACCGAAGAATGTTGATGTTAATTTAAACGCACATGGAATCAGTGCAATTGGGGAAGCAGACGTTAAACTTAAATTTGGAGAAACGGGTATATTTTTATCCAATCAAGTCAACTGTCATCTGCGACTCCGTACGCAAGGAATTAAAAAAAAAATAATAAGTAGCCTATGTGTTCTTCCACACTATGTCCAACATTTATGAAAAATTTTAGCGAGATCCGTTCAGCTGTTCCGGAGATATCTTCAAATAAACATCCATCTAAACATTCGCATTTATGATATAAGATTTACTATGATATTCATTTTTTTTTATTTTATTAATTAACATTTTTTTGGTTCGTTAAGGTAACAGTACTTTGAATCTTGATGCTATTGGTGTTTCTAATATTGGTCAAACTCACGTCGATATTACTCTTGGAGATGGGAATGTACATGTACCCGGACTAAATAATATATTTACCGGTAAGATTCCTGTAAATAATTAAAATAGGTATTTATAACCTATTGGTTAAAATATTAAACACGTCAAGACTCAATGCAACTTTGAAAACTAAATCTTTAAAATAAATAAATACATTTTCAATAATTAAAACAAAAAGTAAGAAAAACAAATGAAGTTGTTAAAACTAAAATTTTGTTTTAGGTAATTCTTTTCTTAAAAAGCGATGTGAAGTTGGGAACAAATCAAACGTAACATCAACAGGAAATGTTAATCCAGTTTTTATCGAACTCAAAGATAATGTCGGTAGAAAAATGGGTAACGATACTAGCACAAATGCAATAAACAATAGTACGATTCTGGAATCAAACACAACTCATATAGAGAAACCAGAAAATAAAGCTAATGCTACAACCACTACGTTAACCATTAAGCATAACGATACTACTCCTGTTACTAATTCAACTACTTAGAAACTGACATATTTTAAATCTGATTTTAAAACATTATGATTGCTTGATCCAAATGACTATAAAGAATCTTTGAGTATGCTATTATGTTCCGTTTGCAATTTGTATTAAATATTACGTTAATTTAAGAATGGTTTTATTTTATTCTTTAATATATCACACATATTTCCGAGTAAATATACTGTAATTATTAATTGAATCACAACGTAACTTCACCAAAACAATTACAGACTTTAACATCATTTCTATTACTGTTGAATAACTGAAACCGTTGGTGGAAAGAGAGCATGGGGTATACGAATTTCCTTAAGCTTTAAATAAACTGATTCCAAAATTCTTATGTCTGTATTCTGTGAGGAAGTAATACTACTCGTGACACTCATTTACAAGCTTATTCAGACAACAACTTTTAATAATACTGAATTATTGTGGTTGGAGCTTGAAGTTACGTCTCTAAAATTGTAGTCGTAGTGACCATCAGTGTTCAGGAGTAGATTATTCTCATACATGACTAGCTGGTGTCCGCTGGAATAAAAAATTCAATTAGTTCTCGGCAATTATTCGAATTTTTCTCACCTTTTAAGCCTTCCCTAGACCTCCAAGCAAATTTCAAGACCAAGATAAGGTAAATCCGTTCAGCCGTTCTCGAGTTTTAGGGAGATTAAAAACAACATTTGATTTTTATATAAATAGATGATGATAATATTATAGTATCTCGTCATCAACTCAATGAGCTAATCTTAATTTGGAAGTTATTAGTATTTTCAAATATATAGTGGCGGCTGGTACTATCGTAAGACTCGCTGTGCAGAATACACTTTTAGGTACTAAATTATTCTGGGAATTACACTGCGCAGAGCACTTATGGCATTGAGCCGCCAAGATATTTGAAAAGACTTATACCAACTTAATTCTTGTGGTGCAGTGCAGCGGCAGCGGCGGCGGCGGCGGCTGCGACGGCGGAGGGTGTGTGCTTGCGGCGCGGCCCACCACCGCTGTTGCGCTCACGCACGCTCCCCGCCATCATTGCGCCCGGCTTCTCCATACTGCACGCGCAGATTGATCCTCAGCGGTGTAATGGTAAGTGTAATGGTCTATCGCTTTTTATTACTTACCGTGGATTTCTGAGACTGAAATCGTCGTTAAAAACATGTTATCTCTATTATGTCGAAGATACTGACAGGGATGACGTAATGTTTTATAAAGAGATTTTACTCTCAGAAACCCAGATTTAGCAGTTTTAGTTGTTTCATAACAAAATTGTCTTTGTCACTTTAAGTTTCCACTGCCAAAACATTCGTAAAATTTGTCACCATTCTTTATAAAAATATGTTTACAATAATAATTATATTCTAAAGGTGAATCAGAATTCAACCAAAATTAATAAAATACCAAAAATAAGTAGTGAAATATCATTCCAAAAATATAATATCATTTATTAAAATCACGAAAAATTAAAATAAATTTAAAATATGAAACGACAACAACAAAATAATGTTTTAGTTATAAAGTTAATTTAAATTTAAATTCTTAATTTATTTCTCAGGTTCGCATCTAGAATTAGTTAATGTGTAGTGTAATAGAAAGGTTAAGGTACGGTTAACGTATTTAAAAGCTTATCCGAGATAAAGTTCAGAAATCCCATTGCCGTTGGCGTGTTTTAAAATCGTTTTATTTACCTTATTTTTCAGCCGATGCATTATCTTACACGCGATACTGGTTTTAGCACGAAGCTTTTGATACGTATTATTTTGCATAAACATGTTAACTTATAAAATTATTAGGGTTCCGTACCTCATAGCAAAAAAACAGAACTCATATAGGATCACTTTGTTGTCCGTCCGTCTGTCTGTAAATACCCTTTTTCTTAAAAAATAAACAATTTTAAAATGTCTAATTTATAATAATAATTTATAACACTGTAACTTGCAGTTTAAAAAAAAATTACCGAGGGGTTCTGAGGCCTGTGCCTCCCTGTATAAACAAATCGTCATTTTTCTTTATTATCTTTGATAAAACAGAAATAACAATATATTTTAAATGGAGATTTTGATTTCAGTAAACTACGGTAACATATCAACAGTAACTATCTATTCTACAATCTACAAATCGCGTCTATCCAGATAGAATGTTTAATGAAAAAGCCCCTTAATTCCATTCGATGGCATCTCTGTGGTCGTTAACTTTATCTATTAGCACTTTATGTTCCAACTAACTTAACATTTATATCAAGTGGATTACAGTGGCCTTTTAAACGCTTTAGTTTTATCTTTAAATATATTCATTTCACTTTAATTGTACCGTACGTAACCGTGATTACTTTTAGAAATCAAAGTTCAACTTTTGCTAATATTTCTTTTTGATCTTGTGTTTTTTAGTTTCAATAAATTAATTAACAAAACTGGTAGCCTGCGACTCCGTACACGCTTAATTTAACATACCTAGTAGCCTATGTGTTCTTCCAGAATATGTTTAACATTCATGCCAAATTTTAATCGAGATCTATTGAGCAATTCTGGATTTAAAGGGGAAAATATTTTCGTTCTGTTCATCCTCTCCTCCGTCGATTAAAGGTAGGCAACCCATATGCAATTGCATATGTGCATAAGCTCGTTTGCCACCTTATGATATAAAAAAAATGTTAATCTAGTATTTAAGCTATAAATAAACATAAAAATCTCACGTAAATATTAGTATTATTTTAACTTTTGAATAATATGTTTCCACGTTTAGTGTCATGGAGTTCTTGGCTCGCATCCAAAACGACAGTCATTTCTTAGTGTCATACACTTGGACTACTTTTCTCTATTACTTGTGAATATATTTCAACTGCACTTTGTTATACAAACTAAATGTTGGACAGTTTATATTATGTCTCTTCTTAGTTAATCTGTGGAAATGACCCACTTAAATAAATGTTTAAACTTTAACTGAATAAAAATAAAATAAAAAATAAGGTGCATATAGTAGTAATTACAAAAGTATCATCATCATCAGCTAACTATACGTCCCCACCGAGGGGCTCTGAGCCTACCCTAAGTTTAGGGTGATTAGGCCATAGTCAATCACGCTGGTCAAGTGCGGGTAGGTTGACTTCAATCATGCAGGTTGCATCACGATGTTTTCCTTCACCGTAAGAACGTCGGATAAATGTACATATGTAAATCGGAAATCGAAAAACACATTGATACATGGTGGGATTCGAACCCAGGACCTGCGGATTGCAAGTCAAGTGCTTGAGCCCTGAGCCACCGACGCTCTATATCTATTTTGACGATATAATAATAATTTTAATTGATAACAGACGTGATTTTTTTTTCTATTTTCTGACCTTGAAAAGGTATAAAATGTTTTTTTTTTATATAAGTTTTCATACAAAATGGATTGAGAACTAAATCAGACTCTACAAGTTCTTAATATAAATTCCTCTTCGTGCTCGCGTAGTGTCATAAAAGTGTCATGTAACACTTGTTCCTCTACAGTATTAAATTTTTAATGCTATCAACTTGTAAGTATAAGTTTTATTCTACGAGTTTATCAAGTTAAGTTTGACTTTTGAGTTCGTAGAAGTTTTAAATGTTACTTATCTTACTAATGCGAATGTTTGAATGGCTGCATGGACCTTGCTGAAATTTGGTATTCATATACAACATAGTCTGGAAGTACACATAGGTTACTTATTAAGTTGTTTTTTTAATTCCGCACGGACAGAGTCTTAGCTTTTTTTCCAGCTTAGGAAATTCTTCTTTTATCAAGTTCCATCGCATATTAGTTACTTATTCGCGCATTAATAGAGCAATTTTAGAAATTTACAAATATGGTCAAGTATTTTATTACTAAGTAGGCTTAAGGTAGGTAATACCTTACTTCTTACTAACATAAGTGCGAATGTTTAGATGGATGGATGGATGTTTGTTTGAAGATATCTCCAGAACGGCTTAACGCATATCGATAAAATTGGACATACATATGGAACATAGCCTGAAAGAACACATTGGCCACTAATATATTTTTTAATTCCGCGTGAACTGGTGTTGCTGGCGACCGCTAGTAGTTTAATAAATAGGACAATTCTCAGATCCAAATTCTCTTTAACTTTCATCTATTAACATAAATATATGTTTCTCGTACATGAACCAAGTTTTATTTCGCGTTTGATATCTTAACAATAGCTTTAACGCAAGTTCGTCATTTCCTCAGCACGCAACGCCAGTCCTACTCGTAAATCTTCCTTTCCTCTTCCTGTTTGGTTTGATATTCAAATACTTTCTTTGTGTAATAAATTAGAAAAATCAGTTAATTGTTTGAAACAGGCCTACTATTGGGCTAATTTATGTTACCATCCACCTCCGATTTTAGCCAGGTTTGAATGGATTTATAAACACGGCTAAACACTCACGTATATTTGTGCCGTGGCGGCACCGACTAGTTTAATAAGTGAAATAATACCAGTAGCGATGGGCTCGAAACTAGTCGGTGCCGCCACCGGACGAATATACGTGAGTGTTTAGCCGTGTTTATATATCAGTTTAGTATAATGTCTCACGAAAGTTTGAATAATTTATCAGATTTGAATGTTTTGAAAACCATAGAATTGCTTTTAGATTCTTGGCACATCTAGGGAATATAATAAAAATTAATATACACATATTGTGTTTTGTAGGGGGCCTTATAAATTACATCAAGAAGGTTTTTACAATGCATTTTTGTATGTTACAAACATACAAAAATGCATTGTACATCAGAGAATTGATGTAAATTTACAAAACGTATAAGTATTTAGCTATAATAGATGTATTATGTGAATAATTTATAAAGGATTTTAAAAGATATATCATATTTAAATGTAAAATATTGTTTAACATGGTTGCCACGGTGGCGCTTTTCAAAACTAATATTCGCAATATAAATTTTATAAATCTGACATGAGACATCGCTAAATTATTATAAACCGAGAAAATGTCTCTACCGAAGAGAGAAATTGTAGTGATATATTCAAGCTTTAAAAATATTACTAATAATTCCAAGAAAAATTACTAAAATGCTTGTGTGTAACCCGTTGGGCCGATCTGCATACTGATCAATCGGCCTAATGCGATTTTTTCTATACGGCCGATTGAATCCGTAGAATCAATTGGTTCAATGAGAATTATTGTTTGGTTATTTCGACTGAATCGGCCCAATGGGAAATGTATCCCGTTGTAGGTAGACCAATCGGCCCAATGGGAAAAATGTAATGCTTACGTAAAGTTCTTTATAACATTTGATTGCTTGACATGAATATATTTCGTTTAAGTTCCCTGCCGTTTTATACTAGAAAAGAAATAGACTACTGTTACTTATATGCAAGTGAGACTACAACGTAATTCTTCAGTAAATTAGAATCTTTTGTGTTTTAAGTTGTATGTTTTGTGTAATTTGGGAGGATTAAAACAACTATGAAATAATTAAATTAATTGTTATTATTTAAACTTCGGTTATAACGTAATAATGCAAATGATGTAATTTACATTAATTACAATACAAACGTCTACTACAAAGGGTTGTTTATTGTGACTACATTCAACACTGATGCCTTGAGGAGGTATTACAGCTTGACCATGTTAGAGGCAACCTTGATGAGACATTTACGGCTCCTATGTAAAGATTTGTAGCAATTTTACTGTACGTTAATAATAGAGAAGTACTACTGTGTTAAGACTAATTAATTACATTTAAAATCTCTTGATTTAAATAAGATATTCAAATGTTTATGTTGAAGATTCTAATTAGTATAGTTCGAAAGCCATTTTTGCTCAAAAAACGAGTTGCTACGTAATTCATAGGGGCCGTGGACAATGGATCAAGTTTGCTCATAAGAACTATACAACTTGTCATATTATTTTACAAGACGTAATACATTTTGTTACATCATCATCATCAAGCTGCCCTTATCCCTAGGGAGAGTTGGCACAGTATGTACTACTTCATACACCTCTATCACCCGTCATATTTGATAACACAAATATATATAATATTATAAAAAATCCCATAACTCTGTACTTCAATAAACAGGAGCTACGCTTTATCAGGTACAGAAG